ATTAATTCTTAATTTTACTTTTGCAGAACGCACCATGTCATAAAGCGCAAATCATATCAGACTGGTTTCTCGAACATGACAATGAGTTCACTGTACTCAAATGGCCTCCACAGTCACCAGAGCTCAATCCAATAGAGAACCTTTGGGATGTGGTAGAACGGGAGTGTTACGTGTTTATGATGTTAAAGTGGGATGCTGTAACATTTAAGTGAGACAGGTGTAATGTGTGCGACAGATCAAGAATGAGGCAAGGATCAGTTACTCTTATTTAATCTTTTTACTCAATTGAAACAATATGTAACAATAATAAATGGGGGGAAAAAATAAACATTTATAATTATTATCTTTAAACCAAATCGACGAGTGTAACCAAATCAAAGAAATTAACAAAACAATCCTTAAATCTAAAGTCTAAACTAGGCGTCAAAAAGAAACACAAAATAAAAACAGAGATCTTCTGTGTATACGACATCCGGACTAAACTAAACTACAAAACTCAAAATACACAGGTGGCAAAACACTCAAACTAATCTAACAAAACATCAATCTAAACTAAAACAAACCGGATAAGTCCATCAAAGCTTAGTTTAGAATCACACAACAACCATCATATTATGTTACTTAAAGCCAACGAAGTTCAACAAGCAAACTCGAATTATCACAGTAACTGAGATAAATCACTAAATAGACGAAGCATTTGCACAAACAAATTGCGTGGAGCACAAAGGGTACGCCGAGGCAGAGCGCACACCACACACTGGTCTGTCAGGGCTTTAAATCCTTGCAGCTCGTCCTGGGATTGGTGGAGCCGAAGAACGTCATAATGATGATGGACAGAATAATAAACCAATAAGAAACCTAAGGGTTGAGCAAACGGAGAGGAGGATAAAAAAAAGGCAGAAATAAAACATAAATTATAACAGGGAGATTAACATCCTGGATGTGCTGTTGACAAATCTGCAGCAACTGTGTGATGCTATCATGTCAATATGGATCAAAATCTCTGAGGAATATTTCCAGTACCTTGTTGAATCGATACCACAAGGATTAAGGCAGTTCTGAAGACCTAAGGGGGACCAACCTGGTACTAGTATGGTGTACATAATAAAGTGTATTGCAAGATATTAAATGTGTTTGTAAGATGTCTTCAATATATTTGATTCAAAATAAAAAAAAATAAAATGACACTGCTCTTGTTTTAAGTGAGTGTAAGTGCAATTTAAAATGTAATGTTGGTTTTATGCAACTGTTTGGTATACAGATGCTTCATATTGAGCAAGACACACTTTAGACCCAATGTTGAATTTTTTTGCCAGTGAAAATAGAAATGAGCAAAGAAAGATTAGGTTATTGAATTATATCATTGAAGTCAATGATGCTGTGAATTCCTAACCTGTGTGGTGCATAATGACCCTGGATGATAAAGACACAGCCGGAAAAAATTAACCCATTTACAAGTTGAATGTTTGATGGGTTTAAAAGAGTAACTAAAAAAAAAAAAATGTTTCAAAACGTGTGTTACTGTCAGTTTTGAGTTTAGTGCCCTTTGCTGTGTGTCCAAAAGGATTCGCTTATGGTCTCGCTCCGATTAATGTCCACACAGCTTTCAAAGGAGGCTCGGCCCTGTGGGATTGTGTAATGAGTTTGACAGTTGGTCTTCTGCCTCACCGTTCAACTTTTCCATATGCTGTTGTGTACTGTTTGTGTGGAGATTTTTCACTTTGAACCGCCATCCCCACTATCCTGATGGGGGGGAAAAAAGTATTAAAATCAGATGTGCGTCTTTGAATTGTACATGTTTAAAGGTTGATCACATTTGGTGTTGAGTTTTCCATTTGAATTTGGTGCACAGCTCAAAAGGCAGTTCAGTATGAGTGTCGTCTTTATTGACCGTAGATATCACTGGTGCTGAGCAGAGTATACTAAAGTGGTCAATTGTGAGATTCCATGACGGTTAAGTTTTGGAGCAGATCTTCTGCATTGCTCACTATATGTACTGAAGCGCTCTTACTGTGGGCGGACGCATCTATATTTGGAAATGTGCTGTTGCTTACTCTCATCCTCTGTCTTTCTTTCTTCCTCAGATCCTCAAGCCAGCCGATAAGAAGCTGTACTACGGTGGAGGAGGAGGAATGGGCTCAGGTCGCCCGGTCACCCCGCCGCGAAATTCAGCCAAGGGTGGAAAAGCCAAGAAATAACACCCGCTGGATGGACTCCCACCACCCTCCCAACGTCCTCTCCTTATATTCCCTATTCTCACCCCACTCTTTTTCTCTACCTCCCTCCTTTCTTTCCGTCTCCAAACAGCTATAAAGCAAAACAGTACCCAGGGTTGAAGTCCTTTTTCTCTCTCTCTCTCTCTCTTTTTTTTTTTTTTTTTTTTTTTGGGTTCCTCATGTAACTTTACAAATGTGTGTTTATATATGAGACTGCGTGTGTGAGCGTCGGTTCTGTTTGTTACGCTCTTTGTGTTTGTCTTTCCACCCATCCTTCCCTACACCGCTCATCGCCCCATCTCTCCACCTGTCTCTGTGTCAGGGAGCGTCCGATGAAGCCTCCATGTAAACGCCCAGCTAGACTCTGGGAGAGATAGAGACAGACAGACAGAAGGGTTAAAGAGGGGCGGGTCGAGAGGTGCGGGTAAAGCCCCCCTCACTGTTTATGTCCTAAATGGTTTTACACACACAACTTGCACATCCTGCATTAGTTAGAGAGCCAGTCTGAGTGATATGTGATACATGCGCGCGCACGCACACACACACGCAGGGAGAATGGATGTGCAGAGAAAGCGTGAGGTAGAGAGAGACCATCACAGGTGCATAATTTCCATTTAGAGATCCAGTGATTTAAAACAAACAATCATGTTGGAACTTTTTACTTTTTTTGTAGATGGATCACAACAAAAGCTTTGAAATTCTTTGCTTACTATGTGTGTTTTTTTTAGTGTCTTTTTGAAAGACAATTATCAATAAAGAGAACTTTATTTAAACTTCCTGTACTATCTATCTTACTGTGTCCTGCTCTCCCAAGTTACCAATCTCTTCCTCAGGTGTAAGTTTACCGTCGTGAATCTGTTTTCTGGTTTCCTTTCGTTTGACTGAAGAGGACTGATTGTAGTCTTTCAGGGTTGACCAAAGTTGATCTTTTCTTAGAAGGACTGATATTGTGCACCTAGTCCATTGTTTTATTTTATTTTTTCTGTCTGTCTCCAGCTTGCTTGCTTGCCTCTCTTTCTCTCTCTGTCTGCTTCCTCTATTCATTCAGCTCAGTCTCTTCTTCATTTTACTTATTTAATGACTTGATTACTCTTATCTGTCCTAATTGGTCTGTCTGTCCCTCTTTTCACTCTTTACTAGTTACCATAATCTGGGTTTTTAAACCAGATGTCACACCCAGCTCCTGGACTTTGCCTTGCCAGCTCAGCTCGTCCATTTCCTCTAGAGATCTGTTGTCCTTTTCATTCCCTTCCCTCCATTCCACACTGTGTGTTTTGAGTTTTTGGGCAGGATTTTAAGTTTGATCCTTTACAATCTCAGAGGAGTTGCTACTGTAATTAGCGCCTATGAATTCTTCTGCCTGCCTCAACTCTTCTCACGGGTTCCAGCAGATGGCGCGATTCACACTGACTGAGTCACTGCTTCAGTGTGTTCCTAGGAAATAAGAATATTGCAAAGCAATACACTAGTGTCCTCTGCTGGCTCAAAGATACACTGACATGTTTTTTTCTTCCTGTAGTGGCCTGCTTCATATGTTCTGAGATGAATAGTTTTGTAATTTAAAAGAGTTGTAATTTCCACAGTTGTTTGAATTTAAGCTATTTTTTAATTAGGCATGTAGATTAAATACTGTCTTAAAACATGTAGAAATGACGGTGGCCTAGTCGACGACAAAAAGGGATGTCTAAGGTAAACTATTGCTGCCTTCCAATTCGCATACATATAGTACGCCCTAAATGTATGTACTTTTTGTAAAGGAAATCATATACGTTGGCGCGTGTGACAGGTATATGCAAGCTTTGAGGCATAGGCTACTATCTCATTTAAAGATTGTTGTGTTGCTTGGTTATGAGCTCTGTCAATCCGCATTGCTATCATATTTAATTTCCTACCTTATTGGTGAAGCAGCAGCAGGTTACTCTCCCATTTACGAATATTTCATGCAGAGAAATCTCAGCTCTTTGGTTAATTATGCATTCAGACCTTAGTGTCCAAACACTTTATATAAGTTCAGTGTTGTTGTTGCAGATGAAATATAACACAGAAAACGCGATTTAAATATTGACCAGTTGGCAAGATATTAAGTCACACAAACATCTTTACCAAAGACTACCTGACGGTTGTGTTTCGCGCGTCTGCCATGTTTGTAGTTTATAGGCACTTGCGCTTGTAGTTCTAATCAAATTCACGTCCAACTCGTAATGTATTGTGGGCAATATTTGTGGTTAGAGCAGGGGTGCGCGAACTCGGTCTTGGAGGGCCGGTGTCCTGCAGATTTTAGCTCCAACTTGCCTTAACACCTGCAGTGATAGTTCTAAAAAGTCTAGTTAGAGATTGATTAGCCAGCCCAGCTGTATCTGATTGGGGTTGGAGCTAAACTCACCTGGACACCTGCCCTCCAGAACCGAGTTTGGACACCCTTGGGTTTGCGTATTGATGGGTTTACACTTAAAACTTTTCACCGGAAATAGTAAACCATCCTTTAATCTTTGGCACAGTCTCTTCAACATACTATGGTTTGGGACATACTAATTCTATTACAAGCACTATTTAGGACAGATAGTATGTGAATTGGGACGCAGCATATGCTTTCAGTGGTCTCAAACTAATGAATTCCTGGAGGGCCGCTGCTCTGCATAGTTTAGCTCCAGCCACTCCAACTCACACCTGCTTAATAGTCTCCAGTAGTCTTGAACACATTGATTAGTTGGATCAGCTGTGTTTGATTAGGGTTGGAGCAAAGCTGCGGCTCTCCAGAAATTGACTTTGAGATCTATGCTTTAGATGCTTGCTTGGAAAGACATCCCATAATTGAGGTCTGTATTTTAAGGTGTTTCATTGTTGATTCAACATTTGTCAATCTTGGTGACTAGCACTGAAGAATTAGGGAAATAATGACAAGCATAGTGGCCATAGACCTTCACACGAATTGCTTACTAGCATATCAGAACTATTTGTCTCATACAGAACATAAGGTTGATGACGAAAAATGAACGATTGTTGCCATTTATCATCTGCTATCTGATGGTCAGTTTTAAAACTCTTACTAATCATATAAAAAAACAACAATATAATCATAGTACTGCTGTTTTCTGATAGATCTTGTATTTGTTTTATGGGGCAGGGAGGATTTTGAATGAATTTTGAGTATGTGTGCAATCCAAAAAAAAGTTGATGTATTTCTTTTGGTTGATGGCCTTTCGATTATCTCTGATCTCTTCAGCAAGGCTGGTAGATTTGTGCACATCATATTTGCTTTACAGCAGCACTGAGATTAAGATTTTATTAGTAGTAGAGTTGTTGTTGTTTATCAATACATAATGTACTTTTATTTGTTTTACTTGACAGAGAGCAGGATATTTAGATGTGCTTTCTTTTTTCTTCTATAAAGCAATCAGGGATGTTTTTCCTTATGTATTGTAGTACATTATTTCAACTGTACTATAGTGACAAATAAGCCAATTAGAGGTTTCAGGAGAAAAAATATTACAAGATTTTTTTTTTTTTTTCAATGAAATTTGATTTCAAACCACAAATCCTGTTTCTCAGCTACTGGAAACAAAAAATAAAACTGTATTTGTACTGGTGGGTTTTTATTATTTTTTTTATGTACAACTATTAATTGCAAAACACACTAAAACAAAACAGATTTATATAGATATTTTCTTTCCTCATTAATAACATAATTATAATAAGTAAATAAAATAAACAAATACAAAGAACAATAATAATAAAAACACATTCAGTTATGACATACTATGACTCAAAATACCTCTTGAAGAATGAGTTTTTGAGTCCAAAGCTGATGAAAAGCCTTAGTACCGGTTGTTTTTGATATCCCTTACATACAATGTGTTAATTCAAAGCTATTCCACTTGTAAATAGGTTTCATGAAACTAATACAAGCTGTTTTTAAATAATGAAATACAATTCTAATTCACAAACACATGCACACACACACAGATATATATATATATACACACACACACACACACACATATATATATATATATACATACATATAAACACACAAACACGCACACATATATATGTATATATATATATATATATATATATATACACACACACATATATATTTATCTATTTATTTAAAAAAAAAAATAATCTTGAAATAATGTTTACAGTCAAAAAAATGATAAGATATAGCAACACATGGCCTTGAAGCAAGACTTGCAGTTTTGCAAAGCAGTCTAAGCGCACTGCTGGTCTGTATGTTCCGTCCTTTATTATAGTATTCAAGCCCTTGACTATAGGTGTGCCCTTAATGATATACCTTATCGCTGTTTCGATATACTTGAGTATACACTTGCAAAGAACATTTTTAGTATATCTCAAAATTGTAAATACAGAAAAAAAATTCCCTTCATTCTAGAATAAAAGTAATTACTCCTCTATGGTGATACATTTGTTTAGAAGACATGGCAAATAATTTCTTCTATTACATCAGCATCATGGGCAGTCTGTCCAGGGTTGTCCTCCAAGGCCATAGCTCCTATAGCTGGTGAAGAATATCTTCCTCGAAAGATGAAGCTCCTAAGCTTCTTCCAAACTTTCAGTTGTAGTAGTTGGTTAGAAGTATCATCTGAACCAGCTCCTCCTTTATTGCCAGCCGAAAACTGACCCACTTGAGTACACCTTCCTTGACCCATTCAAACTCTGCTGTCTCTTTCTTCTAATTTCTAATAGCTGTTTTTTAAGCATAGGAATATCTGAATATGTAATTTGTGTGTCTTACAATTAATTTCATCAAACCATCCAGGCATACCAATATTTAAGAAGTTTCAATTTTTAAAAGATATGTGATTTTTAAATTTACTTTGACTTGTATTTCATTGCAGACAACACAGAAGCACATTATTTAAGGTGTTCCTCATGATTTATTTATTTATTTATTTTTTTAAATAATTCTTCCAGTTTTGGTTTTTGCAACACATTTCAAAAAAGTTGGAACAGAAATGCATTTAGCTCTTTGTAATGTTGCCATTCCTTTTCACAACATTTAAAAGATGTCTAGGGACTGAAGACAACAAAAGTGATAAAGTGTTTCAGGTGTAAATTTGTCCCATTCTTCCTGCAAACAAAGTACAAAAAGTACAGGGTCTTTGTCCTCCTCCTCCACAGCCAGGACTTTGTAATGAGTGCAGAATGTGGTTTTGCATTGTCCTAAAAAGGAGGCAGCATAATGTACTTTTTAGCATTAATGGTGCCCTCACAGAAGCGCAAGTTACCTTTGCCAATGGCACTGACACAACCCCGTCCCATGACAGAGCCTGGCTTTTGAACTTGTTGCTGGTATCAGTCTGGATGATCCTTTCTTCTTTTTTCCCTTTTCGTTTTCTTCATGTACAAATCAACTGAAGTTGACCAGACAAAACATGGAATATTTTGTGTTCATATTGTCTGCAATGAATTACAAGTCAAAGGAAATTTGGAAATCACTTCTTTCTTTTTCATTTTCCGCGTTGTTTCCCCTTTTCATGTTTGGCGTTGTATAAGAACATTCATAATGCAAAACCACACATTCGAAGCAACATGCAGCACCGAAACATTACATTAAATATTACATTTAAACAGCACAAAGCAACACTGAGGGTAATATTTAATCATACGAACTGAGCAGAAGAACAAGCAAACCTTAATCTCATCAAGAATGCATTTTTATCTAACATACAACATGATATTGGATTGCTTAATTTTAGGAGGTCAACAGGACACGGTTAGAGAGATGAGGCGGGAAGTATGGCATTTACTCGGCCGCTGATTGGTTTAAATGCGTGGAATTTTCTACATCTGCACGCTCATAGGTCAATCTCTACGCCGTATCACTTGGCTAGCCAAACGAATAACGCCGAGATCCCTGCAACAGTTCACATTACCCAATAGGAGCGCGATTATGGATGTAAAGGATTGGTTGAATTCACCTCCAGGACGATAGTTCTAGGTTCGAAAACAAACGCAGTAGCGAAAAATTAATGTTCGTATTTTACGCAAATCATTTCATCCAGACCGTGCATTTATTAATGTTGTAGTCATTAAAGCGCGGGAGGACAGTTAAAGCATGGATTATGGGAAAAGCTGGAGCAGATGGCAGCGACGGTCGTAGCCAACAGGAAAAGCTAGCCTGCTAGCTTTCAGACGAATTTTACTACGGACAAATCGACCTGAAATTTCAAGTAAAGCCCGTCAGGTAAATATTTTCTGCTCTTTATTTTACAATATCTTTAGCTTATGCTCCCACCCTTTTGATAATATATATTTTTTTAAATTCGAAGTAATCAACATATATCGCGTTTAATGCTTTAACTTTGACCGAGTGGATCTGCTTATGTTGTCCAGCGAGCTAACTGGACCCGAAAGGTTTGGGTGAAGTCCGTTAACTCGACTTCCTGACAGTGACACATGTCCCCCAAGACTGACAAATAATAATCGACAGTTATAAATGGGGAAAAATCAATTATCAGCTGACCTGCATGCAATCATTAGTGTTGTTGTTTAGTAACTGCTAACATAATTGGCGCGATCAAATCGGATTCAGGATGTCAGCGTGAAAACACGCGGAATGTTTTAATTTACTGTAAGAACATTTTACGAAACGTTCGAGTGTCATTTTTATATGCATTTTATTTTTCTCGTCGCTGTAATCTCTGGGGTGTCGACTCGTGTTGGCAGGCGTTCCCGGGGCTCTTATTTTTTTACGTTTGCTCAAGTTACAGCTCGAACTCGATTACAACTCCTATGCTCAAGTGTTTTCCGGCTGAATAGCTCGTTGTAGCCTGACTCCTGACCTGTCAGTGGACAGAAGGATTATACGTATATTAATCTCGAGAGGAGGATATTTGCTGGCAAGACAGCAGCAGCATGGTTACAATGCACAGTACTAACGTTACCCAACAGACATTATGTAATCCAATATACAGTAGTGTTACTAAATTGGGTAAAGCAGCTGCATTGAACAGTAAATTTCTTGTCACAAACAAGCCAAGCTGTTGCCACCTAGCATTAGCACGGAAGCTTTTTTTATTATGATCACGGTGTTTGTTGGTTTGTCTAGAATTTGATTCTTCATAAAAGGTTTTTTTTTGAGAGAGACATTAGCTTGTCTCAAGTAGACTACGTAGAAGTAAAAAAGGTAAAACAAAAATAACGTTACATTTTAGTGAGAATTAGTAGCCAAAAACGTTTAGGCCCACCAAGAAATTTCTAGAACTTCTGCTCTACAGGCAGACTTTATGCTAGTTTTAAACTTTTTTTTTCATTTTCTGACATAAACATTAAATCTACATTAAAGTAAAAAAAAAAAGTCATTTATATTTGACATTTAATATTCTTTACATTAAATTACAGATATTTACATCTTATGCTGGTTTCAATCTCAGAAATGTCGTTTAGTCTTAGGCATGAGCTGGTATATGTTTCTGACTGTATGATAATACCATGATATTTTTATGTGAAATTGTGATATTGTGATTGGTCTAAAATAAGGTAATTTTAAAACTCTGGAAAAAAAAGAACAAACAAAAAAAAGTTTTCCCTATTGAACAGTATATTTCACTTTAAGACAATTATAATATTTTGGAACAGTAAACATAAATAGGTTAAGTAGTTAAAATAAATAATTGACTTCTGACATCATTCGTTTTAGTATCACAGTTTTCTTTATGACACAAAAATACATAAAAAACCCTTACATATACCTTAGAGACACTATAACAAAATTTTTGCGTTTTTCAAACCTTGACTTTTCCCAAGCGTGGTAAACCTTGAAACCGTTTATCAGTTATTCAGTTTACAATGCCTCTATTTTTGTTTCTATATAAACGTTTTCTTGGGAACAGAAGTAATAAAACAATGCATCTTGTTTTCTAAATAAAATGAACAAAACTAAGAATGACTATGTTTAAAATGTTACTTTGTCATAAAAGGATTTGAAGTCTTACACTTTTAAAGGTCTCCTTGAATGTTAAGGCCCCTCTTAAGGCTGCACCTCCAGCTGTGAACCAGTTTATAGCTCTGAACTCTACAGTTAGTGCTATTGCTTTTTAAGATGAGTGCACCTTAAGAAACAAAGACATCAGGGATAAGGATGGTGTGGCATTAGTTACTTTACATTACAATGAAACAAATACTTAACAATGATATAACAACTGCACTATGAAAACAGCCAAACAGACTTTTAGCAGGAACCACATTATTCATTCTTGTTGGAGTTGGAAACACATTAACTAATATTTCAGCATGTTTTTTTTTTTCTTCATTCTGAAATTCTCTGCTCAGACAGCTGTGCTTGATATAAATGAATATGTTGTGTAGTTTGCCTTGTGGGTAATTTTTATGGTAGTTGTTAGGGCTGCACAATATTAAAAAACCTAACATTGCAATATTTTTTTTTATATTTCAATTGAAAATAATTTATACGGTTTGATCAATTGGGATGATTCTGCAGTTTGAAGCATATATACTTCACGTGGATGTTTTCTGTAATGGAAATGCTTTCCAACACTTGTGGAATTAAGTCCACAAAGTTTGCTGTGCTGCATGACATTGACTTTTTGATATGAACACTGATGTCTAGGAAAAAAAGATCATTTTCACTAAATGTACATGGTGAAAGTGTTGCATGTTCTGCAGTTTACACAATAAGAGAATAAGTACACTCAGCTAAACAAAGTGACATGATGGATGTTTTTTTTTTATGACTACAGGGTTTCTTGTAATACAGATTTAAATGTAAATGAAGAGGCGCTGCAGTCCACAGTAATTGTTTTAATGCAAATTTGTAATTTAAATTTTGAAATATCCTACTACCCTTTATTTTAAGAAGGGCTATACAGTATGTTTTGTCATTCTGCTTAAGCAGCTTGATGTGTAAATGTAAAGATAAGAAAAAAATCATTAACTATGTTGTACGGTGGGTCCCAGTTTACATACTGGTATGCCATGCACTATTTTGTATTTTTTTTATTCTATTTTTATAGTGCATAGAGATGTAAAAACTATTCAGTAATTTTTATTATTCTGGCAGGTAGGTTAGTACTATAAATATATAATTATTGTTGCCAAACAATACTTCCATCAGTTTTACAGTGCAACACTGGAAAAAAAAGATGTCTGAAAAATTGTTGCAAAAAATGTATACATGTTAAATTTAAACAAACAAATTAATTTTTGAAATGTTCAACCTAATTTGTTTGTTTTATTTCAGCCTAAATAAATTGTTTACAATCACTTAACTTAAAAAAAAAAATCGTAAATCCAAAGAATCATCTTTGAATAATTTTTTCAGTGTTCATATTACAGTATAGCCAGTTACCCGGAGTTCGGCTGTGACCTCTTGGATCTTTAGCTTTGATTGCTGTGTGTATTGGAAAGTTCAGTAACCTTATGTAACCTTATCATTCCTTTTTCATTTTTTTTGCCCGAAAACTGCTGGTTGTCTTATGTTTAGAAATTGGATTAAACCATTTAATTCTAGTGATTCTTAGCCTGTTGGTTTTTAAACTGATGGTTCACCTCTAAATGTTGTGCCTCTTTTACTCTCTCTCATGTAGTTTTCAACCTTTATGAGTTTCCTTCTGCTGAGTAAAAAACTTTTTGAAGAATGCTCAGTGCTGTCACCTATCATTTTTTACATTGAAAGCCAATGGATGGCAGCTACCAGCATTTTTCTAAATACCCTTTGTGTTCAACGGAAAAAAAGACAGAAGCAAAGGTTGAAAACATGATAGCCTAATTCTCATTTTATTGGGTTGAATTATCCCTCTAAATATTTCTTGCCATGAGATGTGTCTTCCCAAACTAAAGTTTATACTCCTCATAAGTTAGGCTCATAACCTGCTAGAAACATATTTATCTTATTGTCAAAGCTTGTTTCGGTTGCTTAGTTTGCTTGTATAATTTGTAAGAGCTTTCGTCTGACTTTTGGACATCACTCTTGGTTATTTTTCTTCTGTGAAAGGAAGATAGAATTTGATTCTGGACTTGTAGAATGTTTTGCAGCTGTTTTAATATGTAACTCAATAGCTTCATTTTTTTTTTTTTTTTTTTTTGTTCCAGCATGTTGATGGTGGGCGACCATGGAGGGATCTTATAGAATGAGTGTGAGAGAGCTTTGTGAGACAGATGATCTGGCCACAAGTCTGGTGCTGGATCCCTTACTGGGGTTCAGCACCCATAAGATGAATATCAGGTAATTATTCTGATTTACAACAGAAATTATTTAGTTATTATGATTCATACAAAAAATGAACAACCTAAACTAAAGTCATGTGAAAGAGGCCACTGTTCAAAAGCTTTTACCACAATATAGTAACATTTAAAATATTATTCCTATTTAAAATGACTATTTTCTTTTTAAATAAATGTAAAAATTTGATTTATTCCTGTGGTGGTAACTGAATTTTCAGCAACCACAGGATTTGTGTGTGTAATTAAATGGATAGTTTGATAAAAATAAACATTCTGTCATTTATTCATTCACCACTTGTTGCAAACCTGTTTGTGTTTCCTTCTGTTAAACACAAAGGAAGATATTCTGAAGAATGTTGTGGAAAAAAAGCAGCCATTGCCATCAATAGGATTTGTTTTGATCTTACAATTTATGTAAATGGGTGCTTTTTTCCTACATTCTTGAGAATATCTTGCTTTGTGTTCAACAGAAGAAAGGAATACAAAAAAGTTTAGAACCAATGGAATGTGAATAAATGATGAGGAAATGTAAATTTTTAGATGAACTATCCCTTTAAAATGTCTTCAATCAGGGCATATACAATGCACAACACAAAAAGAATGAAAGTCTCTCTATTTTGTTTTTCAATGCGAATATTTAAATATTAAATCAAGATAAATTTACTGGAGATTAAAAACAAAGTTTTTTTTTTTTTTTTTAAAAAGGAAATAAATAGATTTAAAGCTTTATACAAGAGCAAAAGTGTGAATGGATTTTTCTAAACTCACTGGCAGTTATTTATTTATTAATCTATTTGTGAGAAACATAAATACAACATGAATACATACAAACACAGTACATTTTGGGGAACAATTATTTAAATAAAAAAAATCTATTTCCCAAAATGTATTATTATCATAAGGCTGTTAAAAATGTATTGCATAATAAATGTTATCTCTACTTTATAATTCTTTCTTTGATGCAAGTACTCCCCCTGAGATCCGGCGATGGGGGTACCTCAGAGAGACACTCCTGCGGTTCAAGCGCACGCATGACTTCCAAGCCACCTTTGATGCTCTGTTGGATGGAGAGTGGGTCAGCGACTATTTCGCTGGGCTGGGTTCACACCGACAGGAGCTGTTGAAGCAGCACGTGAGTATCATGTTTAATCTAGAATAGCGTAACAATCATCCTTTCCTGTTTCTACACAGAGAGTTTTGTCTATGTGGCTGTTCAAGTCTAGTGTTGTAAATGATGGTTTGGCTTCACTTAAAACATGATAGTGTTTGGTGGATTAGGTGTTTGCTGTCTTGATGAATACAGTCTCTTCACTTATTTAAATGGGCTGAATTTAATTGCAGTCTTTGATTAATAATCACGCAATTTTCCAAGAACAGAACATTTTAAGGGATAGGATTAGACTTTTGCTATTAAATTTTCTTTGCTGAGCACCCATGATACCACAGAGCAGAAGCGAATCCTTTCTTTATTTGTTTTTTCATTTATTCTTCTGCTAGTCTGTTTGTTTTGTGCTCACTCCATAAGCGATGTGGGTTCCTTGTATAATTTGCAGTGGTTGTCAACCAGGGGGCATCAGCAGACTTCCTAGGAGGCCTTTAGATGACTTGAAAGGCAAAGTTTTTTTCTTTGAAAAACTTGAGTATATGAGGAAGCGTTAAAGTGTTTTTTTTCCCTCTCTCTAGAGCTGGAAACTAAATACAAAGCAAATAGTCTTCATTTTCATGTGCATTTAAAGTATTAGATGAATACATGTCTAGTTAAGAGCATCTAAAAGGTTTTAGAAATAATGAATACAAAAAATAAATTATGTGTGTGTTGTGTGTGTGTGTGTGTGTGTGTTTTGTATGTTTCTGTCTCTTTCCAGTGCTTCCCACAGGTTTAAAATTTACTTGCGGTGGTAGCCAGATTGAAAAACATCATTTTCCCACATCACATAAATAGTTAACTATATGCAAGAAACAAAACATAATTTAATGTTTAACAATAATTTTATTTATTTTCACACTATTATACACTTTCTTTTCAATGGATTAAAGTAAAAGAAATCTACTATTTCTGTCACTTTTATGCTATTCAGGAGCCATGTGCACACACTGATAGGTAAAATCTGCCTCTCTTTAAAAATATAAAGCAGACTTGAATGCCAAAGCATTTTAGATGTGTATATACAATAGCCCATACTGTATTGACATCATCAAATTTATAAAATTATCAGCAAATAAGAAATAAATGTCAGAAAAAAGGAATAAACAGACAAAACCTCTAAAAAAGATAATAGTTACAAGATTAAAATGTGTAGATTATTTAAATAAGGCAAATACGTTGATTAAACATTACCAATGGTGTACATATATTCTGCAGTCAGTTTAGACCAGTCTTTTCATCCTCTCCACGTTTATAATAAAGTTTTTCTGAGCCATTTGGATTAAAAATTTTATTATTTACTTTCTTTCAGTCTGTGCGCGCTGTCAGCTGTGAAGCAGGCGGAGAGTAGTTTTTAATAAAAGAGTAATGCAAAAACGCATCAGGGCTTTAGAAAGGGAATCTTTGACATTTTTGGATATTTAGAAACCTGGACCGGACATTTTAAGTCCCAAAAAGGTGCTTCTCGATCACGGATGTTTGGTTATCTTGGGCGGATACAAAAAGTGTAAAAGGATGTTAATAATGGTTAAAAAAATGGTATCACTAAATATACTTGGGCGACCGTTAATAGACCTGGGCGGCCTGCCCAAGTAAAGTCTATGTGTGGGAAGCACTGATATCACCAACTTTAAAAGTTTTAGTGTCTTTATTGTGAGCCTTAGAATCAGTAAGTTTGATGACTGCTGAGTCCCAACATTAAAGAGATTAGTTTACCCCAAAATCAAAATGATTTTTTTTTCTTCCTTGTGGTTTTATGCCATTTTGTTTTTCTTCTGTTGAACACAAAAGAAGATATTTAGAAAAATGCAGGTTGCTGGCACCCATCGACTTCCATAGTAGTAGTAAAAAAAATACAAATTGACTACTATGCTAGTCAATGGTTAACACCAGCTACAGCATCTCTCAAAATGATAATCTTTTGTGTTCAATAAATGAAAGAAACTTGAATATAATCGGACATTGTGAAGGCTTAGTAAATGATGGCATTTTTTTCACTTTGGGTGAACTATCCCTTTAAGAGTGTGTATGAGGGAGAGTGCCTTTCATAAATGAGCAAAATGAACAAATGATATGCTCTCTTGCAATTGTTATCACTTATTTCAGGCTTTTGCTAGTGCTAGTAACAGATGGCAAAATCCCAAAAGAATCTGTAACTGTCAAACTAAGAGCTTGTGAATCACAATTGAACTAACTTAAGAAATCTGCAACAATACACTGCCTTTAGGAAAAACCACAGATATGTATGTGCATGTATGTATTAAAAATGAGAAATGCCTAAGCTTGAGGTTTTAGGGTTTTAATGTGGTTAAATGAATCCTGTCCTAAAAACTATTTAACTTGATCATCTCTTTTCTTTAGATGTATCGCTACATGACTGCATTTCTGTTGGAAAGTGGAGTGAACATTGAGCCTTGTAACCGCTATTCCTCTGAGACCAATGGAGCCAAAATCACATCCACCCGACACTGGTTAGGATCACTTCTTTTTCATTTACTCATGTTTTTAAACTCGTAAACTATAATGCAAATTATTTAAATAGAATTGTCATTCACTTATAGTTTATTCATGAAGTGTTATAAACCACTTGGTTCAGTCATGTTGATCACAGTAGCTGATGATATGTTAATTTCCTCAGGTTAGTGGGAGAGCGGGTGGAGGTACTGCAGGGCTGCATAGCAGAGCTGAGCCCTGAGGATAGCGCTGTTCTCAGAGCAGGAGTGAACGACTTCAGTGTCATGTACTCCACACGCAAGAGATGTGCTCAGCTTTGGTTGGGGCCTGCTGCCTTTATCAATCATGGTGAGAGAGACCTAATGCAGATTGGTAGTTCTTGTTTTGAAATGCTTTCTTTTGTATGATATAGGGTCTGATCATGCATTTTTCTTGTTTTGTTTTTGAGTGCAGACTGCAGACCCAACTGTAAGGTAAGAGACTATTACTTACTTTAGCTATTGTGTGGAATCTTTTGAATTGATTAGTTTTTTTCAATATATTGACTGACAAAATGCTTACATAAGTTGATACCTGCTTTGAGATGCCTGCATTGAGATGTTTTTAGGGTATGTAGTATCTAAAAGTCATGTTCAAACGCCCATCTTCGCTTCTTTACTGTAAATAGACAGAATAATAACTGCAATGTCACAATGCAGTCTTGCCGTGTGAATGCAGCTTAATAGACCTGTCACGGTTTAAGTCTTTAATAATTATTAGACCACAGTATAGACAAGATAAAGACAAAACCACTTACTGCTCTTGTCTGGATCACTTTAGTAGCTTTAATAAGCCCTCTGCAGTTAATGTCGAACACTGTCAAGCACACTTTGTTCTGTTCCATATCATTTGTTTTTGATTTTCATTTAATTGCTTGTCTTTAGTTAAGAAGGCAGTGTTTATCTAATTGAAAAACACTTGAAGGCTACATGGCACTGTTTTAAATTATTGTTTATTTCGATATTAAGCACTGTGGGCTGAACACTGTGAACACTGTGGGCTTGCTATGGCTCTGAAATTTTTATGCCATTTCACTGATGATGGATTGCATGAATTCTGGTGTCATGACAATCCCCAACAATGATAATAATGCCTTTAGTAATTATGATATTGTTATTGGCCCTTTTTAAACATGAGGATATGCTACTGATTAAAATAACGTACTAATAAAATGAATGAAAAATACCTGTTTTTTTGTCGTTGTTGTTGTTTTTTAACAATCATGCATAAAATAACAAGGCACATTAACCTTATTTATATAATATTAGAAACGATTTCTTAAAGTCCTAATGAAAAATGCCTTAAAATATGAATATAAAATATGTATATTAAGGGTGTAATGAATCACGTTTGATCTGTGATTCATACGGATCTCAACCCATGGTTTGGAACACGCGTGACCTGCAGTTTAATGCTTTTTTTAAAATGGTAGATTAATCCTAAATTTGTAACGATCATAAAGAAATCGCCTCTCACGTTGTTCAAATTACATGTACAAAAGGATTTAGGCTTTCCTGTAAAACATAATGATAACGGAAGAAGTTATGGTTGGTTATTTGGCATGTGGTGGGTTTCATTAAAGGTGTTTTCTGTCACTACTTGTTTAGCCTGCATTAATCATTAAATGCAAGCTGCATGATTAATCATTAAAAGATCAGGATCTCAACACCCACGCAACAAATTATAAATGATGGTGATTTGCATATGTTTATTAATCCTTAAAATCGCTGCATTTAAATCTGTGTTTATAAAATGCAAAAATCAAGAAAGGGATTCAGTCTTTAGTCTTTTGAGTTAGTTTTGAAGTTACAAACAGTCAAATAACACAGAAGTACTGGGTTAAGTTTATAGTTTAGATATAAAACCACTGATGTTTATGGTAAAGATGAAAAACCACCATCATATGCATTTAACTACTCAAAAATGAAAGTTGTAGGCAGCAATTACATTATTTAACTAATAAGTGGCGACAACCAGCTCTTAAAAAAATATGCCCCTGAACAATTTTTCAAAAATGGCACATCTAGCAATGAAACATGAAGTTTTATGAGTGAATAACTGAATCATTTATTAAAAATGAGACCAAAAATAAATATGGGTTGTACAAACCATGTTGGATTTCTACATTGTGTTATCAGCAACAGTAGTAACAGTGAATTTTTCACAGTACTGAATATTTTACAATTTATTTAAATTCAGTTGATTTTTTTTTCTTCATTTTATTTAGAATAAAATTACAGGTTCTAAGTTTAGTTTGTTAAAACCAAAAGTTTCTTGCAGTGCTGTTTTTGTAATGAATGGAAAGCAAATTACATTTCTCTTCTCCTTTTTTTGGCTGATCAAAAAAATAATAAAATAGTTTGATCCGTGACCAAAAGTCATTTTGTGATCCGAACCATGAGATTTGTGATCCATTACACCACTTGTATATGCATGTTTGAGCCCCAAATCAGTATTACAATGATTTCTGAAAGATTTTGTGCCACTGAACACTGGAGTAATGACTGTAATGGCTTAACATTGCAATAGTTTTATTATTAAATACAAAATATGAGTATAACAGACTTCTTTCAAAAACAAAGAAACCTCAAACGTTTGTTAATATGGAGCATCATAAAGAGAATGCCATTATTCTGACGTACAAATGGTTTTCTTTTTGTTTATATTATCCATTTTAAAATGATTCCATCTTTGTTGAATCTATAAATCTGACATCAGTCCTAACAGACCATCACCCACTCTTTTTTTAATTGCATTTCCTTAATTTGTTTTACTTGTTTCCTGGCATATGACTAAATGGATTACAGTCAAACAGTTTATACTGAAAAGTAATTTGCTTGTTTGTTTCTGTTCCCGCTATTAGTTTGTTCCTGGAGATAAGAATGGAGCTTGTGTGAAAGTGGTGCGGCCCATCTCACCGGGAGAAGAGATTACATGTTACTATGGGGACAGCTTTTTTGGGGAGAAGAATGAAATGTGTGAATGTTGCACATGTGAGAGGTGAGGGAAAAAATTAGATGGTGCTTTAAGGCCATCTGCCTTGCATGTCATAGTGATGTTGGATCGATAACATGTAATTATCTCAATGAATGCTTGTGATTAGTCTGAGCTGTATTAGGTTTTAATGTCAGTTTGGTTTCGAATGACAGATTTTCAAAGCTCTTATACGTCTGGTTTTATTGCAAGTCTAATGATGCTAAATTATTTCAGGAGGGGAGAGGGATCATTCAAGAAGAGAGACCAGTCCCCAGATTTTGCCTGCACTGGGGATCCTTCAGGCCAGAAATATGAGTTCAGAGAGACCGATCTAAGGCTTAACAGGAGTAGAGGAAATGGCACTCCAAAGCCATTTCTTGCTGTTTCAAACTCTGGTATGTTTGCAATGCCATTCATTTTTGTTTTTTAAAATAAATGTATGTGAACTTTTGTAAATTATTTATGTACTGAATGTGAAATTAAAATGAACTTAATTAAGCATTCCATTCCAGTTTTGTAATGCATTGTTAAAAGAAGCTAGTGTTGCATTTTAACCTTTAACAACCACTTAACTCTAACTGTCTATTCTTCTTGTCCCATTGTCTGTCAGCCTTGCCAATTAGGAATACGTTTTCCCAACGGACAAAGAGAAACGCCCTTGTTTTGAGCAAGATGAGAAAGACTGATAGACGGAAGAGGGAGGAGCAATGTAAACAGGTGGAAAAAAGGATGCAAAACCTCTTATCATCTTTTCCTCACCTCAAGCTAAAGGAGCTGAGCATCTGCCTTCATCAGCACAGCATAAATTTCCTATTACGATGTAAGGACCCCTTAAGCAAAGAAAGAGCCCTGCTGTATCTAATTGAAAAAGAGCGACCAAAATCTGAGTGGATCACAAGCGACAGCAGATCTGCCTCTTCACCACTCAATAATGCTACCCTAAATGGACCAGAAGAAAGAGAGAACGAGGATAGAGAAATGTTAAATGGAGACTCTGTCATTCAATTTCAACCATTTACTCTTGGATGCGTTTCCATTGTACATGAAAAAGACAAGATGAAGGCGAAGGGACATAACACTGATGCGTCGTCTGTCAGAATTATCCACCAGGGCATTTCCTCAAGGACCAGGAATATACTTTGTGGTCGTCTAAGCAGTCTCCGAGCTAAGTCTCGACCTAAACTCTCTAGATTCATAAGGAGGAGGACCAGACTGGTTAAATCAAACTCTAAACTTTCTAAAGTCCGAAATGAATGCTCTGGCGCCCAAACAAAAGATAGGAAATGGCAAAAAGAAAATGAGGTTGAGTCTTGGGACATTACTGATCCTCTGCTAGTGTCTCCAGGTATATCATGTACCGATAAAAATGTACACCTCAATGAAGATGCTGGAACTAACAATGACAAATCATTACAAACAGAGAGTACAGTGATCAGAGAGACACAGCAGAGAGTCTTTAGGGATCGCCTCAGGGAAGTGGCAGGTGACGTGAAACACATCTGTGGTTCTATTGCTCCTAGGGAAGGTGATGTTAGTTCTTGTGCAGCTTCAGAGACCTCAGGGGATGACAAGCAAATCCACAGGCAGCCTGTCTCTTCTAGTGCTGTAAGCGTTATGCCCTCCTTGTCTTCACCATCTCTTACCAGCCCTGTCTCTTTCCTCTCAGGGCTAAATCGTCACCTCAGAGTCAGTCTGGTCAGGGTGGCTATCCCAGGAAAACCAGAGATTGAAAGTACAGAGCAGGCAGAGAGAGACAGTAGAGAGAATGGTACGGCAGCAGCATCAGTGCAGCAGAGCACAATGTTAGATGTGAGTGCAGAATGCAATAAACAAGGTAAGAAAGGGGTGAAGGAGTTATATTTCACACCAGTAAATGTGGAAAGTGCAGATAAGTACTTAAAAGTAACATGCGATTTAGAGATTGGCAAAAATATAGTCACACAGCCTGTTGTGAAAGAATTTGTTGATGTCTGTGGTAAGCATAGCCTTAGTGAGTGTGAAATTAAAGGAAAGCAAGATGATAATGTTGTAACGGTTGCATCTGTTGAAGTTACAATTCCCCAAAATTCAGAAAATGCTGTAAGGAAACGAAATGGACGAGAAAAGAATGAGAAGCAAACACATGTTGAGGACACACCTCAGGTGCTAGATAAAGAAAGCAGGGGGATGTATATAAAGAAGGGGGATGTAATTGCTGATGGAAATGACTTGAAAAAGAAATTGTTAACGGTGCGTTTTGGGAGCAGGATTATTGTTGTTAACGAGGCAAGAGTGCTGCTGACAGATATTAGAAAGAGTGGCAAGTTTACTCAAGTTAAAGATTATATTTACCACCAACCTCCATGTAGTTACAGTGATAAACGAAAAGCTTGTGATGTGAAGACACTATCCCTTGCTGTCAATAAAGAGAAAAAAGACAAGCATGATACACTTAAAAACAAATGTGAGCATCCTAGTCAGGGACTCACTGCAGCTAATCAGCCAAATAAAGATGACACTTCAATTTCGTTGGAGCCTTCGTCCATGTGCATGGTGTCTCTGGATAATAGTCCCCAGAGCAGTATTCCCCTAAAGAAACGTCAGTTTCGAGAATCAGTGGACACCGACCCAGAACAGGATGTTAATGTAGCTGCAACACTGTGTACAGATGGCAGTAATGACACTGAGCCCAACTCGGACAATCTGTTACCTAAGCCTCGTGAAGGAGGCCATTTGGAATCAAGTTTAACTTATAAAGACAATGTTGGTGTTGAGTCCAAAAAATGTGGCTCGTCCAAGTTGTTAAAGACTTTGCCAAAACGATGTTGTAAAGGTCTTCAAAGTGCTCAGCATGACCCAGCGAGAAGGACAATCAATGATCCTAGAAGTGAAACATCCAAAATTAGGAAAAGAGTCAAATACATCTTGGAAGAGGATAACCAAGTGGAAAATGAGAAAGAAGTTGAAGAAAGAACAAAGGCACCTAGGAACTCTAAGACTGGACTTTATATAGAAGATGCCAGAAATGAGTCGACTACCTCAGATGACAAGTCTGAAGAAGATCAGAGGTTAAATGTCAGAATCCGCCTTAAGAGAAAAAGAGGAAAAGAGTGGGAAATGGAAAGTACAGATGAAGCAGAAGGTGTTGTAGACAAATCAAACCCTTTGTCTTTAGTTGACCCCTTTAGGGCCATTTTGGATTCAGTCTCAATTTTAAATGCAGAAATGGAGAGGATTAGGGGTCATGGGGAGGACGATAATGGTATAGGGTTGGAGAAAGCCACCAAAGCAGTCCAAGATGTGCTAGAGCATTGTAGAAAAGAATGTGCAACTAAGCCATGTAAAAGACAGCAAAAAGCGTCAACTGTTGGAATTCGAAACAGAAATCTTAACACACCAAAAGAAACTGTTCAAGACAGTAGTAATGTTACAGATGCTGTAAAAAGCTCAACTGGTCCAAAATCTGAGGTGAATGTTGATGATTTAAAACCATTACCCCCACTTAAATTGTGCAGGAAAGGTGAAGGCAAGTGGGAGGTGGAGTGGAAAGAAGCTCAGAAGGAAGTTCAGAGCATTGATATGGTGTACAGGGAGCCAAAGAAATTAGCATCAGTCTCTTCTAAACCAGCAATACTGGAACAGACACTGCTGTGTAAAGTTAAAGAGGAAAAGCCGTCACCATGTCAGAAAATAAATGCAGCTCGTAGCAGCACCAAGGGTACAGAGACATTCAAAGATCCAGTGAGTTTTGAGACTTCACCTTTACCATTATCCCTTTCACCTTTGTCGCTTTACTCTCCCTGTTATGATGGACTCACGGGAGTTGGTAAAGTCAGTGGAAGTATTCAAGCAAAAGAGAATGAAAATAAAGGAAAGAATGACACTTCTTTGAGCCACAATTTGCTTCAGATTAATAAAAGTCTGTCAAGACTCCAAGCTCTGAGTCACCCGCAGGTATGCGAGAAAAGTGTGCCAACCAACACTAGTACAACCTCTTCTCAGATTCAGTCCCCACCTATATCTCCATTTACAACAGAGTGCAGCTTTAGTAACTATTCTGAGGATGTACTTGACTTTCCTTGTTTAAATCTGGAAAACTACGATCAGATGCCTGCACAAAACAGCTTGGCTAACACCTTAATTGATTACTGCCCTGGCGAACCACATAATACAGGATCCTTCAGTAGCCCTTTCTCCCAAAGTCCTGCTGATGCGTGGAATCCAGAGACTCCTTACCTTGGATCCCCAAGTCCAGTGAGTAACTTTAGTAGTGGTGATGACCTAAACTTCCCAGACATTGTCTTTGCTCAGTCTGAAACGTCCTCTTCTGTCGGTGCTCCTCAAATGGTCTTCAAAGATAGATCATGTAATTCTGCCACAAGTTCTGCTCCTCTTCAAGACCCTGAGAAAAATCTGTACTTATCTGATGGTGAGTTGTCCAAAAGTCCCATAGAGCTTCAGGTTCAGGAAAATTCAGCAACAGCGTTTCTTCCAAAAGACTTGTCAATATTTAACAATGCAAATGCTAAACAGGCCATTCACACAGCTGGGCGTTTATATCCTCAGGATAGAAAGTTAAACTTTCTTGATTCCATTGTTAAGTCTTCAGAGGCAAGCCTTGCTAAAATTGAGGCTAAAGATAAAACTCACGGACCTCTCAATTTACATAACTCGAGTGCAAAATCTGAATCTGTTTTTCCAAGTCAGACAACACAAAGCCTGCATGGTGCTGGACCTCAGAGTAACCCTGTTACACCCTTCCATTCGCTTCATGTAGGAAATAAGTCCACCTCACTTACAGAGTATCCGGGTGCATATAACTCTGGTAATGCACTTTTCCGTTGTCATGACAAGAAGCTTCCTTTTTTTCCAAACCACAAGAATCTCTTGAAAACAGAGGGAGGCCAGAATGCTTGTCGAATTTCTGTTGCTGCAGGCAGCGCCAAGTCTCACAACAACATGGAAAGCACTTTTGTTTGTGCAGGTCCATCAGGTTCTCAGAGTATAAAAAATCCTGCTAGGTATTCTAATATCGGAACAAGAGTGGCTGAAAATCTACAAAAAATCTCAAAGAACATCCCTTCCAAACAGTACCCTACTAATCCTGGACTTCAAGGTGATCGCATTCACCCTGTTTATTTTGTCAGCTCCAGCAACACCACAACAAATGCTTTCAAGAATATTACAGGTCTGAAGTCTCACATCTCAAGGAATGATAAAGATCTACCCCTACCCTCAACATTTTTATGTTCCTCAACTCAAGGTTCTCAATGTTACAGCACAACACAAAACAAACTCTCAAAATTAGAGAAACCCCATGCTGTTGTGGCTCCCACTCAAAACACTCAACATACTGGAGTGATCCAAACCCATAAGAGTCAGACCTGTGCTAGCATTTCTCACTGTGATCCTTCTGATTATAACTTCAGCTCGTCTCTTACATCTCCTGTGTCACAGCACAACAGTCCTCATCTGGGCTACAGAGAATCTCTGATCCATGAGGCCCCACTAAGTAAAACACAGTCATCCACTTTTGAAAACAGTCAACATCCTCAACAGTCTTATGTTGTGAACTTCACCGGAGATCATTCTCTCACCCTTGGATACAGCGAGGATGGTGAACGCTCGAATTACACTGGTTCAGGTCCTGCAAATTACACTTATCATTGTCTTATGGAGCCTTCAGGAACTCAAGGAAGGCTGGTTGTTGAAGCGTGTGGTCCCTCAAACTTCTCGCCTTCTACACCTGTGAGTAGGTGTCCTGGGTCTAAAGTCCATGGAGGCCAAATTTGTAAGGATCCTCAGCAGACTCAGCAGCCTGGAACTCACCCATATAATTCTGTACACTTTACCACCTCCCACTCTCAAAGCACCCCCATAACAGATCGCAAGCCTAAGAGACTGAGGCTTGTGGTGACTGACGGTACAGTGGATCTGGACCTACAATATACCGATTAATAATGACGTCTTTTATTGATATGCTGACATTTATTTATTTAAATCGACTTCAGTGTAATAAGGTGTTCTGTTTGTTTTTCATTAAACTTGTATGGATCGTCCAGTTCTTAGCATTAAAGCAGAATTTTTCTTGAAATATTTAAAGACATATTTTTATTAGCAAACTTGATTGCTTAATTACTTGTATGCTGCATTTAATGTTTTAGTACATTACATATAGAAGATCATATTTTTCATGCTAGTGGTTCCTGTAAATATTATAACAGGAAAAATGGATGTTCTGTTCACCCTGTAGTACATAATACTTGCCACATGATGGTGGTGCGGTTCTCCACCACATGGAAATTCACTCGATTTCCT